TATTGTTCTTGACCAAAAAAGGCAAGATTGCTCGCCAATACAAAGTTATTTTCAATATAGAAGAGAGATGAGGCCAAAAACTGCATAAAAAAGCATCATTTGAATGGACTAAAAGCTGAAAGTCTTAGATAACCCAAAGAACCTTTATCAATGCCCAAATATCAAAATATTTTTTTCTGCAGAGCAATATAAAATCCGATTGATTTTAAAGCAGTCAACATTCTAGACTTGGTCTGTATGCGTGTCTGTATGCGCAAACATGCTCATATGCACTACTCATTCCATTGCAGTAGTAGTATCGATTGGCCTACCATATTAATTCGCCGGGATGTGGGGCCATGTTGAGCCTCCAACGTTTAACAGCCAAGCGCTGATAGTCTTGCGCCATAAGAATTCGGTTTCTTTCCATTGCATAAGTTTCCTTCCTTATTTGCAAGATTCGGGCGATGCTATGTGGTGACTGTGAGTCATTCTGAAAAGGTATAAAAGTCACAACAGTGATAAAAAGTGAAATCGAGCCTTTACAACGTGACAACAGGCCTCGTAAATACAATGCCACTTAATTAAAAGGTGAAAATAAACCGAATAAACCAGGCCAGGTTGTGGATAATAATTACGTAACTAACAGCCTATATCTATCTATGCATATTCATTTTATTTTTTAGTTATGAGTATATACAAGAGGTAAGATAGAGACTGATAGTTTTCTTGACCTAGTGCTAACGTGACACTTTTACAAGAATGAGTTTCAGCTCTGATGATGTTCTTCGAATGATGAATGAAAGCTCAGCCCGTTTTCACCCAGAACGAGAGAATAGGTCTCGTGGACTGCGTCAACCTGAACGTCGTATAAAAGCTAAACGGTTGCCGTACAACGCCGTGAGACCAACCGACGAATCTCTTTTTCATGCACTTTCACAGCAAATGTTATCTCATGAGATTCATCGAAACCCAGTTATTCTTCGCATAAAAGGCATGAATAGGAAATTGCCATCATGTGAAAGAGACACACTTGTCTTATTGGCACAGTTTTGTGAATATATTTGTGTTTTCAAAAAGAAAAAAGGAAGAACAATACAAATAATTAAAAGGGAAACTTGTGACCTGTATCATCTCAACTCGAAATTTCACGAGATAGGTCAAGCATACTGTTACATCAACAAGTCTTGCCTAAACGAATATCTGTGAAATAAAGTAGATTTTCGGCAAAGCATCAATTACAAATTAAATAATATACGTAATAACAGATGGCAAAGTTGACTAGAATAAAATTTGCCGAATATTAAATCAGATTGGAAGCCCAAATGGGCGAAACAAATGCATTTAATTTTCCCGATTGTTAAACATTCTCGGTCACCTGAACTGGTCGGTTAGCCTCAATCTCGTCGAGTGTGGAGCTGGTGACCTGCTGGCCACAGCAGCCATACTCACAAGCGAGTAAAAGAGGATGATAGCAGGCGGCCTTTAGACTGCATCCCAACTGATCAGACGAGATCTGATGCTCCAAGTCGTTCGTTTCCGATCCGGTTATCTCATCTTCATCTTCATCTTCCTCATTGCCATCCGCACCATTTGTCCTCACGCCAGATTTGTCATCATCGATGCCTAATTGAACAGTCCCAGATCTTGTCCCCAGCTGGGCAGATCCCCTCGCTCTGGAAGCACTCAACTCGGGACCATCTTGACACCGTCCTCGCTGCTGCTTGCGGCCTCGAACCTTCGATGAGGCATTGCCTCCTGTCCTCTCTTCACTCGTCGGAATGCGAATCAGGTATTTGAGAGGAATCGCCATACTTGGGAAAAATGCATGTCGTCGAGTGACTCTGATAGAAGCAATACGAGATTGTTAGTGAAAAAAACAGGCTTTGGTGAATCTTCCGGGGCTGACGTCAAGTTTTTTGCTAATTATTCTGAATTAACATACACACACACTCTCGAGTATAGGAGAACTAACCAAACGATTTGAAGGTATGAAGACCAAAATGGTGTGGCCTTTTGTGTGGTCGCAGTCTCCTTTCGTGTGACAGAAGTTGGTCATATTGGCAGGAAGACTTAGAGGAACGAACCTAGTCAAAGAGACAAATCTGGGAATGTACCACGTCCACGGTCCTACTCTGATAATGATGATGCATACAGTGGGCTCCGGACAAACAACTTCTAACCATTCATGTCATGTAAGCCACTGTTGTAATCAGACTTTTGCAAGAATGAGTCCCAACCCAGAAAAGGTTCGTCATGTGATTTTGCCCGTTTCTATTAGAAACGCGGAACGATGCCTCGTGGACTGTTTAAACATGAAGTGCCAAACTTTCATACAAAATGAAATTCCTCACAACAATAAAAAACAATATTGCCCAGACTAATATCTGTGAAATAAAGTAAATTTTGGGGAATGCATCAATTGCAAATTAAATAATATACGTAATAACAGATGGCAAAGTTGACTAGAATAGAATTGGCCAAAAACCCAACGATACTGCGCCCGTCTCAGCACAAATAAGCCAAGGTATGTATCTCCAATGGTGTGAACGAGAGCGAGTTCGTTATCTGCCCTACTGGACCTCAGCATGATGTGAAATTTCATGTGACCACTGATGTACATGGGGTAGTTACTAGCTGGTACTACAGTTCCCGAATAAATGTAGTTTTGGGCATCTGTTAGGAAATCTCATCTGATTACTTCGTTCAGTATCAACAAAAAAGTTTTAGTCGTCGAACTAGCTTGCATTTCGAATGAAAGTGTTTGGCGAAGAAGACGATGGAGAATTCCTCTTGACCAACTGTCAAACGGCTTTATTGGAACATTATTTTTGATGCTGTTTTCGAGGCGATTTCTTTCGATTCCGGTAAAAACGTGCTAAGCTTTCGTCCGTCCTATGACAGACATTATAAGAACATGGTATCATTCTAGCTAAAGCTTAACACGTTTTCGCTTTACTCGAAAGAGATTGCCTCAAAAACAGCGGCAACAAGAAGGCGCAAAAGGAATCCGGCATCGTGTTCTGGTAGAATTGACATTAGAATCACTTTCATTCGCAATGGAAGTGAGCTCAACAAGTGTGAATCATGAAAACTCCTCGAAAACCAACTACCATTTTTAGATAGCTCGGTGAGCTACGTGATAAATTAACTCGGATAGAAGTCGTCCGGTGTGACCACTCTTGATTTGATGAGTCTCAAATATTTGGATTCATTAAAGCAGATTACGTAGGTTGGCAATTGACTACTCACAGGAAGGGTCATTGTGAGGTGAGTAGTATGAATATTCATATTTATTGCCGGCTGAAAATCTC